ATTTCTTCCTACCTGTGTGACCCAGAGGAAGTGATCTAACCTCTCTGAGCACATGTATCAATCAATGTGTTCACCATCTCCCTGAGTCCAGAGTCCAGGTCTTGGAGATCTCTGTATCCCTAGTCCCTGACACACAGTGGATGCTTAGCACTTGTTGAGTAAAGGAAGTACCAGGGGGCCTCTGGGTGGGGTACATTATGAAGTCACAGGAGAGGGAGTTTGCTACTAGGAGCAAACACACCACAGTCATAGAGAGCTTACAGAGCTAAGCCAAGAGCAGAGACAAAACAGGAAAATAGGATGCACGGGCTTAAAACATGCTGCTTAGTGAAGGGACAGCAGAGGTAAACATGCTTAGGGGAGCCTCCCATCACCACCCAGCAGTCACCCCACAGGAACCACCAGCACTGTGGTCCCTGCACTAGCTTGGACATAGGCATCTACCTGTGTGACTTAAACTGGGTTTTAAAAAGCGAAAGAGGCTGGGAAGCAAAGGAAGTCGCTACATTGACTAAATAATATGTTTGCGACATAGATGTTCAACTATTTGTCAAATAAGAGCTGTTGTGATTAGCAAAATATCAATCCACTTAAAAATGAAATAAATAGTCGGGTTAGTTCCTCACCTCTGAAAGGCTTAAACTAAAACACACGTCAGCACATGAAGAGGAAGATGGGAGCTGGGAAACCACTCGTGTGGAAACGCTCCCTCTCCAGTGACGTTGGAGAAAGGATGTGGGCTCTGCTTCATGGGAAACAAGAAATGGTTTTTGCCTGTTCTCTGCACACCCAGAGAAAGGACCAGGCATGTTATAAGGGAACAAGCAAGGAGTGTCATGGGGCCAAGAGACAGGGTGGATGGGAGACTGTCGCCATTTCCCCCTGTAGTCCAGGAAGTCTTCCTGAAGGAGGTGAGATCTGGGCTGTTGGCCCAGGCCCTCTCCACCTCTCCTGGCCCTGGCCTCTGCCCAGTGTTCACACCCATGTGTCCTGATTCCTTAGAAACCTCTGTTCTTGGGTCCTGCCAGTTGCACACATGGCAGCTGCCCTTCCCTCACATTCCCAGGGCCACCCTACACTAGCCAGCGTACAGGGAGTCCTCAGAACAAAAAGAACTTCCAGGTAGCCAGGGCACAGCTGATAGGATCAGAAACTTCAAGTGAACAGTGGCCCAGGAGGAAACTGTGACACAGGAATGCCCACCACCCACACTGCTTTTGGCAGAGGCCACTGTTTCACCAATCACACAGCCCTGCGGAAGCCAGCCCATGGCCTTAATAGCCAGCCACCCTCCCCTACCCCTCCCCACCCGGCCTCCCCCCCCCTCTGATCCCAAGGCCAAAAAGGAAGGCAGCCCTGCTGGCAGCAAGATGCAACCAGCACCGTGGCTTCCACACAGGGTGTAACAGCAGACTGCAGACTTCTGCAGTGGCTGTTGGTACTGAAGCCGAGAGGTCAGAATAGGGGTTTGTGTCTGTGGCTTGAGACCCAGCGGGGTCATCGGGGGATTCACCACCATCTCCAGCCCAGGTATGGGAGGGCGGGTTCATTGGGCACTGCCCATGGCTCTGGACTGGCTGATCCCCTCAGGGGCCTGGGTCTCCAGGGCACAGGGTTGCTGAGATGGAAACAACTTCATGTCAGGGGAGGGACCTGCAAGCCTTTGAATTCTGGGCTAGGAGGGAAGGTGGAGGGTGAGGCCTGTTCACAGGGCCCTTTGGAATTGAAGAGGACTCGGCTGGGGAACAGTCTCTGGCCCACAGTCTATGGATGCCCTTTCTCCAGAGGGCTGTTAGAGTGTGCAAGAGCGTGAGCTCTGGAGCCAGACTGCCCAGGTTCAAATCCTGGCACCTGTGTACAACTTTGCACATTTGCCTCGGTCTCTCTGTGCCTCAGTTTCCTACCCTGTAAAATGGAGGTGGTGATAACCGTACCTATTTTATTTGGCTGTTGTGAGGATCAAATGAGATGATAAACACAGCCCCTTAGCGCAGTAAGTGTTCCATGGCTCTGAGCATCCTCACTGGAACTGGCTTTCTGAGGCCACAGGGTCAGCCTGGAGAGAAAGTTAAAAGACCCTTTAGGCTGCCTGCCCATTTCACAGATGCAACTACAAAGGAGACCACCTTAGACTTTTGAGTCATACAGACCAGGGTTTGAATCCTGTATCTGTAAATTTGTCAGCTAGGAAGTCTTAGACAAGTCCTTGCCCTCTGACTCGCATTTTTTTTCACATGTGAAGTGGAGATAATTATGGGACCTACTTCATGGGATACTTAAAAAGATGAAATTATGCTGAAAACACATAAAGGGCTTATCCTGTACCTCATGCTTAAATTAGGAGCCACTATCACTACCACTACCATCATCATCACCATCATCACTGTTACTACTTATTGGTGGTGTTGTTATTGCTATTGTTATAATTAATATCAGGAAAGGGAGACTTAGAGAGGGAGAGGGACTTGCCAGTGGCCACACAGGAAGTCAGAGGGCAGGACAGGTCCCAGCATGGCCTTCTAACCCCCATCCCTATTCTTTCTGCTCCCCTCACCGTCTCAGTGGCCTTTATTGGTCTTTGTTGTCTCTCCACACATCCTGCCTAGAGCTTAGTTTCTCTGTGCAAGAGGCCCCCCTAAAGCATCTGAGAACCCTAGAGCACTAACTGCATTGTTTCTGGGCACAGATCTTGGGGCATCACACAGGGGAAACTGGCATCCCCCAAGAGGCTGGGCCAACAAAGAACAGGGAGGGAGGGTACCATCTTCCATGATTTCCGCAGCCCCATCCCAAAGCCCTCCAGCTTCCCCACTGTCCCAGGGATCCTTAGCCAGGATGCAGACAGAGTGCAGCTTTTGAGGGCAGATGTCGGAAGTACAGCACTTCTTGCACCCCAAGGAGCTCCTTAAGAAGGGAGGATTGGGAATCCACCTTTCACCAAAGTTTCCTTGGACACTGAGGTAGGTCTGAGGGTTATCCTCAGGGGTCCCCTGGTTCTATGAGTAGGTGTAGGCCCTCTCTGCAGGCTTGTCTCTGTCTCTTTCACCATCTGGCATTCAGAGTTTGGATCTTCCCTAGCAGGGAGGGATGGAGACACAAGAGGAGTCAGGGAAGGGGGACAATCGGGTTTGCTTTGAGGAGAAATAAGAGCATGTGCCTGTTTTAATAATATAAATGTTACATGAGCAATTTATTCAGCACTTACTTATGTACCGGGCACTGTGCTAAGAACTTATGTATGTTATCTCAGTCAATCTTTACTACAGCCTCATCAGGTAAAAATATCAGTATATTCATTTTACAGGTGAGTGAACTAGACGTGGCTTACTTATACACCACATGGTGACTACAGATACCAAGCAAATGATATCAAAGGGTGATAGACTCAGGGTAGAATATAATAGGGAGTGCTGGGGACTGTGGCAAATTGAAGAGAGACGTTCAATTGTTTTTTGTAGAGGCATGATACACACCCATTAAAGTGGGTAAAGTGCTCTAATCTTAAATGTAATACTTAATGATTTTTACATATATTTGTAGATGTGACCACAACCCAGGTCAAACTATAGAATATTCCTGGTACCCTAAAACATTCCTTCTAAGGCATTAAAAAAATTTTTTAATTCTGAAAAACCAAAAGGAACCTAAAGAGATGATGACTAGCCCTAACCGGTTTGGCTCAGTGGATAGAGCGTCGGCCTGCGGACTGAAGGGTCCCAGGTTCGATTCCGGTCAAGGGCATGTACCTTGGTTGCGGGCACATCCCCAGTAGGGGTGTGCAGGAGGCAGCTGATCGATGTTTCTCTCTCATCGATGTTTCTAACTCTCTATCCCTCTCCCTTCCTCTCTGTAAAAAATCAATAAAATATATTTAATAAAAAAAAGAGATGATGACTAAATATAATGTGGTATTTGGAACAGAAAAGAGGACTTTAGGTAAAAACTAAGGAAATTTGAAGCAAATATGGGCTATACTTAATATTAACATTTCAATATTGATTTATTAATTGTGAAAACTGTACCATACTAATATAAGCTGTTAATAATAGGGGAAACTGCATATGGAGTAGATGAGAACTCTCTGTATTTTTCTTAGCAATTTTTTGGCAAATCTAAAATTGTTCTAAAACAAAATATTTATTTTTAATGTTTTTATTAATTTTTAGAGAGAGAGGGGAAGGGAGAGGGATAGAGAGATAGAAACGCCAATGAGCAACATCATCAATGGGCTGCCTCTTTCATGCTCCCTACTGGGGATCGAGCCCAAAACCCTAGCATGTGCCCTGACCAGGAATCAAACTGGTGACCTCTTGGTTCATGGATTGAGGAGCAACTACTGAGCAACACTGGCCAGGCCAAATTTTATTTTTTTATTTTTTTTTTATTTTTTTTTAAATATATTTTATTGATTTTTTACAGAGAGGAAGGGAGAGAGATAGAGAGTTAGAAACATCGATGAGAGAGAAACATCGATCAGCTGCCTCCTGCACACCCCCTACTGGGGATATGCCCGCAACCAAGGTACATGCCCTTGACCGGAATCGAACCTGGGACCTTTCAGTCCGCAGGCCGACGCTCTATCCACTGAGCCAAACCGGTTTCGGCAAATTTTATTTTTTTAAAAAGCATTCTGCAAATACTCAAGCAAAATATGTCCTTGAGCTGGATCTGGCCTTTGAGCTGCCAGTTTGTGACTTCCAGTAGTCTAATGTTCTCATTTTACATATGAGGAAATTGAGGCCCAGAAAGGGGGAGCCCCTTGTTCAGGACTCCACATAATGTCAGTGGCAGAACCAAGACTAAAAGTCTGGTTGGTACTTCAGCAGTAAAAATGGGTCTGGGGTGTGGGTGGGGGGCTGCTGAGGTCTCCCTGACAATGTGCCTTGCTGAGGACTTGCCCTGCAGGAAGCTGCCAGGGGCCACCCCCCTTCCCTCTGCTGCTTCCTCCTGAGCTCTCTGGGCTGTTAGTTGGAAACCAGTTCTCCCACTAGCCTCAGCAATAGAGGGAGTGGTCATGGGCAGCTCCTTTCCTGACAAGAGGATGTCACTTTCCTGATCCAGCCAGCCTCAGTGCACCTGACAGCTGTCCCTCATGCCCAGCACACCGTCTGAGTTGAGTGCTGGATGGACGGGTGAGTAGAAAAATAAAGGAGGGAAGAAATAAATGTCAAGGGTGGGTGGTTGGGGTGTTTGGGGGCAGATAAAGCCAAGAGCAGACTCCACACCAGATGGCCTGCATCACACCCTGGCTCTGCATGATCTTGGGCAGGTCACTTACCCTCTCTGTGTATCAATTTCCTCATCTTAAAATGGGGATAATAGTAGTACCTGCACCTTACAGAATTGTTGAGAGAACTAAGGAGTTGATTAGCATATGAGGGAGGGAAGTAATAGATTAGGAGAAGAAAAAAGGGGAAATGGGGGAAGGTGATATTTAGTTTTCATATTGGGACATAGAAACTTGGACAAAGCCACCAGTCTGGCCGCTAACACAGGAAAGGGGATGAGTAGTATCATGCTGCGGTTAGAGCACAAATTCCAGAGCCAGGCTGCCAGGGTTCAAGTCCCAAGGCCACCACTTACTAGCCATGTGGTCTTGGATGAGTAAGTTAACTTCTGTGTGCTTTTGTGTCTTCATCTGTAAAGTGGCAGTGGCACTCACTTCACAAGGTTGTTATGGGAATTAAGTAATTTACTGGTATGTGATTAGTGCTTAGGACTAGACCTGGTATGTTTAAAACACTTGGCATATAGCAAGTATTTGTTAAATAAGTGGGAAAGCTCACGCTCTTCTCTGAGGGGCCCTGACTGATCAGGCACTGTAAATCCCTTATCTCCTGTATCCAGGCGAGAACCACCCTTACTGAAGTCAGGTGAGGGGAAGGCTGAACTGGTAACCAGCTGCCCACCTCTATGGCCTCACCCACCTCTGGCCAATCCCAGAGTGGGCAGCACTTCCAATATTTTAAGAGAAACCAGAAATCTAGATTCTAATGCACGATCTCCCAATTTTTAAACGTTGGCATTTGTTCAATTTTATTTTAAGCTCTGGGCAAAACAAATGTATATTAAGCTGGCTGCTCTCCCAAGTGGCTGGTTTGCAGCTTCTACCCCAATCTAGCCCTGCTTTCTTTTATTTTTCTCCTGCATTTTAGAGAAAGGAAACTGAGACCCAGAGAGAAATGCTTGGACCAGCTGTGTCTGACCAATTAGTGAAGCCAAAAGCAGTCTCCTAGCTCCCCAATCCTGGTGGCTAGTGACAAGGGAGTCCCTGGGTAACTGACCAGACTTTGGACTAGGTGAGGGAGGGGAACTCCAGGGGGAATTTCCCCCTCGGCCTCAGGCTCTTCCAGTAGCATATTTGAAATACGATATTTGTTAATTAGGTGCCATCTGCACCATGTGTCAGGGGTGCAGCTGAATATAAAGCAGGGGCCTCCGCATAGCAAAGATTCACAATGCACAGAGCCACAGATTCACTCCTGGCCCTGGCCCAGCAGGTGAGGAGCCAGGATTCCAAGGGGCTCCGGAAAGCTATCAGTGAACTCTATGGTCAAAAAAGCCACTACATGAGAGCTGGAGGGGTTGAGGAGAGAAGAGCGGCGTGTTCTGGAGAGAAATTTTAGAGGGGTATTTTGGGGAAAGAGGGTTCATTTACAACAGCAATTTTCAACCATTGTGCCTCAAGAATTTTTAAAACATGCAATACCCGACTATTTGGACAGGAACACTGACCTCTTCCCCCTTAGATTGTCAAATTAAAAAAATGACAACAGCCTCTCAGGTCAGGTGGCTCAGTTGATTGGAGTGTCATCCCGTACAGGTTTGATTCCTGGTTGGGGCACATACCTAGGTTGCTGGATTGATCCCCGGTCAGGGCATGTACCGGAGGTAGCCAAATGATATTTCTCTCTCAAATCAATGTTTCTCTCCCTCTTTCACTCTTCCTCTCTCTCTCTCTAAAATCAATAAAACATATCCTCAGGTGAAGATTTAAAAAGTGGTAGCAGCCAACACAGCCATCCAGTGTGACTGGATCAAATTAATGCCATGGGTTGTTGTTTTTTGTCAGATCGGCAAAATATATGTTTTGGTGTGCCACAGATTTTTAGTAATTAGTTTATGCATGCCATGAGATGAAAAGGTTGAAAATTCCTGATTTATAGGCTTGTAAAACTTTGAATTTAAGTTGTTTTTTTCTTTTCTATTGAAAAAATGCTCTTTGATTCCCTCTTACTTAACCTGTCTGCACCTCTACTTCATCATCTGTCAAATGGGGATCAAAATTGTATTCACCTCCTGCAGTTTGTGATGAGGATGAAATGAGACAACACGTGTGGAGGATTAAACAGTACAAATCAGCCATTGTTTTCATTGTCCTCAGCAGCCAGCCTGCCTGTTTGCACTAGTGGTGGTTTGAGAACCTTCCACTCTTGGCCTTTCTTTACCCTGACTCTACACGTTTGTGGTCTTTGTTTTGTCTGGAGAGTCAAGTGCATATACCAGCTGTGGAGCACCTCTCGGGAGTCAGGTTCTGTGCTGGCCCCTTCCACCGTTTTCTCTTCCTTACCCTCAGAGCAGCCCTGGGAAGCCAACACCATCACCATTCTTTCAGATGAAGAACCTGAGGCTCTGGGAGGAAACTTCACTTACCCAAGGTCACCCCCAACTGGGGACATGACCTTGAGTAAGCCCCATTACCTTCCTGAGCCTCCTGCTTCCTCATCTGTAAAAGGAGGTTCAGGACACCTATCCCAGGGCTGCTGTGAGGATCTATGAGGTAATGAGTTGGAAAGTGCGCGGTCAGCTGTAAATCCAAGCCAAACGGACATCGATGTGAGTCCTGCAGAGCCCTGCTCCTGTTTAGGGTTCAGTTCATTTTGGCAGCAAGAGCTATGGAGAAAAGTTATTTCAAGTGTCTTTTTCTTGGGTGGTTTCCAAAATGCATCATCTCCCTCCAGCTAACAAGTGCAAAACTGGCTTCCACAGGGGCTTTGCTCAAAGCAAGTAACTTCCCATGGGATAACCTGAGAGCTGAAAAAGAGAAGGGCATGAGGTCCCAGGGAAGACAGGATCACAGAGAAGGCCTCAGGCTACGGAGTCAGACAGATGTGGGTTCAAATCCTGGCTCTCCCACTTGTTAGCTGTGTGACCTTGAGCCAGCTCGTTAACCTCTCTGAGCCCCACCCAGAGGATTGTTATGATGAAGGGGATGAGAACAGTAGTTGAGAAGCAAAGCATGGGGGTCCACTAACATCCAGTGAGACCAATACCAAGTCTAAGGCTGGGGCTGCAGACCTTGCATGGTGTGGGGAGCAGGATAGAAACCAGTCAAGGGGCCCAGAAAAGGGTCAGCTACCGAACCTGGAAGGGAAGACTGGTCAAGTAGTGCTCAGCAGAAAACATACCCTGGACCATGAGCAGCTGGAGAGCAGGCACTGTGTACTTTTCATCTCAGTGGCCTGGCCCATTATAGGTGCACAACATCCATTTCAAAAACTGAATTTAATATTCACTTTCTGCCTCATACCCACCCATTCAATCCTCTGTGAAGTGTAGGACACTAGCCAGTTCTGGTAATTGACAGATTTGGGTTCCAATCCAAGCTCTTCCCTTTCTGGCTAGGTAGCCTTGGGCAAGTGACCTCCCCTCTCTGACTCTCAGTTTCCTCTTCCGCAAATGGGCTGATGCTGCCTCCCCAGCAGTTATTGTAGGACTGAGAGATGATGTATGTGAAAGCACCAACATGCTCCTAGGCATTCGGAGAAGCAGCAGTAAATGCTGTGGCTCCTTACAAGGGTAGCCCATGACCACCTCTGCCTTCCCTCCTCACGCACAGGCTGAATTCCCTAAGGCGTTCAGAATTTGTCTTTCCATCTCAGGTGACACAATACAAGCACCTGGGCTACATACGTCTAGGAAGAGTGAAGTGTCACCTCTGCTCCCACAGCAGCTTTATATTATTTCCACCCTGCACTATGTTGGTTGGACATGGTGGGGTTAACAACATCCATAAAACACGTCAAAAATGAGCTACTACAGGCAAACCACTCAAGATCAAGGAACAAACTGCCCTGAGGAACTAAAACACCCAGCCTCCATCGCTAACACCACCCATTGCTGCAGGTTTATTAGTGTCTGTGGACGTTTTCAGGTTGCTAGTTCGAGAATGGAGGGCTTTCTGGTGCCACTTTCCATGTCTTATTCTCGAGGATGGCCTGTCAGCTCCGCACTATCGCTTGACTATTTCTGAGTGCTTCTCTGGTACCTGCAGGTGAGGCTGAATTCCCGAAAGGTGGGACTGGCTCTGTCTCTCCCTGTGGCAGAAAACCCACCAAGATGGGGCCTGTGAGGCTGGGGCCCAGAGAGGGGCAAGTTTGGGATGTGTGTGCCCTTGAAGTCTGAAGCTGGCAAAGGTCTCAGGCAGAGCTTGACCATGTCTGCTAACTCTCTCCCTGTTCATTCAGTGCAGAACCTGTCCTGGGAACCTCCTCCTCAGAACTGGGAACAGGTTTTGCCCTTGATTAGTTGGGAAAATCCTGCTTTCTCTCCTGGCACCATTGGAGGATCGCCATAGCTATCTGCAGGGGCCTTGGAGACTTTATCTGTAGCAATTTAGCCTCATCACCAACCTCTGAAGCCATGGTGATGTGTTGCCTAAAGAAGTCACATAGTTTGGTCCAATACATATCAAAATGCAAAAGCACAATCTCAGCTCCTCCAGCCCACACCTCTTTCTCTGCATTTATTTAGGATTTTTCTCCACAGGCATCTACCTCTGGGCCCCAAAGCTAATTACAGGCTTCCCTAAATCACACTAAGGTAAAGCTAATTAAATCAGGGTCGGCCAACAATTTTCTGGCTTGGGGCAGGCAGTCCAACACCTCTCTTCTACTCCAGGATCCTAAAACCACGACTTGCAGCTTCATTCGAGTTTGAGAATAGGGTTTTATCACTTAGGACTGATTTTAGGAAGAGCAGCCAATGGGACATTTTTTCCCAGTTGCTCCTTTGCACCATGTCAGGGTGACCATGTGGATCAGGTTGGGGGCTTGAAAAATTGAGGTGCAGCCAAATCTGTGCTGCTAGGGGAAGGTGTGTGCGGAGACAAAGTAGACAGCATCTTCTTCTT